ATCATCATCAGCTGCCTTGCCAACTGGCGTGGGCAATCATGCCTCTCCACAATCCGTGATCTCCTGCAGCATGTAGCCAAGAACAATCATCATCAGCTGCCTTGCCAACTGGCGTGGGCAATCATGCCTCTCCACAATCCGTGATCTCCTGCAGCATGTAGCCAAGAACAATCATCATCAGCTGCCTTGCCAACTGGCGTGGGCGATCATGCCTCTCCACATTCCGCGATCTCCTGCAGCATGTAGCCAAGAACAATCATCATCAGCTGCCTTGCCAACTGGCGTGGGCAATCATGCCTCTCCACATTCCGCGATCTCCTGCAGCATGTAGCCAAGAACAATCATCATCAGGTGCCTTGCCAACTGGCGTGGGCAATCATGCCTCTCCACAATCCGTGATCTCCTGCAGCATGTAGCCAAGAACAATCATCATCAGCTGCCTTGCCAACTGGCGTGGGCAATCATGCCTCTCCACATTCCGCGATCTCCTGCAGCATGTAGCCAAGAACAAACAATATTTTAAAAACTTAAAAATGTTTACTCTTTGCATGATCTAGAGCTGTCTTCTTGGCTTCTCTTGTCTTCTTGATGCCTTTATGGCTACAACTTGCAATTCTTATTTTCTGACATCTCTGAATCATTTTTACTAAAGCTTAACTAATCTTTGACCATGTGCCAGCTGTTTGTACACAATTTTGTGTGAATAGTGTGATATAAGTAAGCACAGTATGTATTGTTCATAGACAAACAGACATAACAACTAAGGCCACATGGCCTGAACTATAAGAAGATGTAGGTTGTGTGTGCACACACGCACTCATGCATGTACATACACACACACAGACACACACACTGAGTGACTGGATGCTGGTATTCTGCTCACTTTTTACAGACTGTCAACAATTAAAAGCACACATACGTACTTGATACTGATAAAGCAGGTATAATGAAAATAAACATTGTAGCCATGCATTTATATTTACTGTTGTCTTATAGTTCAAGACAGAACGTTCGTTTGATAATGAATCTGTGTAACAGCAAATCAACTGTCACATGTTAAGAATATGGTTGTAATATACAATGTTGCAAGAACTTATTGACAGAGTATATTTGCCTGACACTTTGCTTGAAATAAAGTTTATATTAGGCTAATTAGTTCACATATAAAATATTGATACTGCAATATTGCAACACATAAACACGTTTAATTGAAAACAAACTATTTGATTTTTTTGCTCAGTATACAGGTGAAATCGTACACAAGTCACTTGGTTTACATTAAATAAATAAAAATAGGCAGATACATTAACAGAGACTGAGAAAGATAGGGATAACTAGATTCCAACAACAGAGAATATCCTTTGGAAAACTGGGAAAGACAATTTCTAATCTTATGTCAGAGACAGATAAACAGCAGTTTCAGGGAGCAAATAAGAAGAGCAGGAACAGAGTCTGTTGGAAATACCTTGCAACCAGCCTTCATTATGGAGACAGCATCTGACTGAATGATTGATTCTTCTCCTTTCTTTTGCTTGAAATAGATGATCTATATCTGCAATGTCACCTCTAGTGTGAACTTCACTGTCTGTTGTCATTCAATCAGTGACCCCTAAAGTTTAGCTTGATTGATTTTTTTATGAAATTCACAGAAAAAAGGATTAATAATCTTCAAACTCTGCAGCAGACGTAACAAGCTAAGATAGCCCAAGTTCAACCGAGTAAATACTGAAGAGACAGATTAATGCAACTGAAATTGGTAAAATGATGGTTAAATGTTTACAACATGTGTCCAACATATGAAGAATAGAGAATATTATCTGGTCTATACTAGCTCTACTTTAGGACACATTACAGTGTCATCAAAAACCTCTGGATGATTGCTGCCTTTTTAAAATATATTCAAAAAGACCTTTGAAAGTGAACAAAGATGAATGAAAGAGACATTATTATTATTTGCACCTTTCAGTATAAAAGCATAGGATCCTTTCAGGTCTTTGAAGTATAGAGGCACATGATGCTAACCCCATATTTTCAGACCAGTTGGCATTTGATAAAACAAGTGGCACAGATGTTGTCAGATGGCACTTTACATTAAATATAATACAATTAAAAATGCACTTTGGGCATGGTAGTATAGTAACCTTTCTTTAAATCCTTTGTAATGCATACATGGTTATATATATATATATATATATATATATATATATATATATATATATATATATATATATATATATATATATATATATATATATATATATGAGGAATTAAACAGATGAATTCAATTCAGTAGCTTAAAACTTTAAAAAAAACAATTATTATTTTATTACTGATTACAATGTAGGCATTTTGATGCAATAAACATCATAAACATTACAGTAGATTCAACTTCATCAGTTTTATTATGTGTCAGTTTAATGCAGACAACTGGCAGCCATCCAGGAAATTTATACAGTTTTTACCTGAGACTTTGTTAAAATATATCTGACACCAGCAATAAAAGGTTTGACCAAGTTACTGAACTGAAGCAAGGCCCACAGTTGGCTGTATAAATGTTTTGCAGTTGTTAATGAGATCACTAATGTTTACAATGACAACAAATTCGGACTCCACAAAGTAAACTTATCAAAAATCAAAAATTTCATGTCAGAAAATTGCTTGGTCCAAAATTGTTTTTTAAACAAATCATATGAAAATATTATTTTTTAAAAATCTTAAATATTTCAGCGTCACAGAAATACTGTATGTATACTTATTGTATGCTAGGAGAAAACAAAAATAATAACAATTTTGAAAGTAAATTCTATAATTAATAACAGTTAAAAAAACAGCTTGAGCCACAGTTTCATGGTTATCAATGCATTTTCTTTCCAGAACACAAGTATTCTTTCTTTGAATCAGTAAGGTCCTAAGGCTAACCCGGAATGATAAAACTGGTAATTTTCTAAATCATCTGTGTCTGAGAAAGAAAAGCAGTAAGGAAAAGAACTGGCTGCTTATCCTCATCATGCCTAGAATATACAAAGCTAAGAGACATTGCACTGTATGCCACTAATGGGGATACACTACTTATTTAGTATAATTAAACATACAATTAACATTGAAATTAATGGTCAAAATTAATGTCATGGACATAATTTATAATGACAACCAGCATAGTGGTTCCATCTACTCAAAATGTGGTTTCTAGCTTCTTTCTACTCTAGCTTTAAAGGCTCATGGTTCCCAGTGTAAACTATGATTTGTTTAAAGAAAACTACCAAAACACAAATAAATCATCCTTTGCGATGTCAGGAAGCAGGTAATTCTCTCTCCCAACTAGTAATTTATGTTACTGTGAATACCTTTATTTCAAATATAAATGTTGACATTTAGGAATTAATTCAACAAAGCCAAATAGGTTGGTAGGTAGCTGTACCCCACCAGGACATCACACAAGCAATAAACACCCGGTGACACAAAGTGCCACCATGCAGACGAGGATCACCTGTGTAGAGGTCTCAGAAACCCCTTTCAGCCAATACAATATCTATCGCTAGACCATATCTATGCCCCGTTTATATTCAGGGCTCCCGGCAGAAGTCAGGGTGGGGCTTCAGATAAAAAAAAAATTGCATCCCACACGGGGACGACTGTAGTATATATGTTTGTGATGAGAAAACCAGATTTATATAGGCTGGGGAAATGAAAAACATACAATAAAAGTTTTTATAAGACTGATTATGAATACAACAACTACTAATGGATAGAACTGAAATTGAAGATAACAGCAAATAAATTCAAGAAATTTAGAAAATAACATTTACAAAATGGAATGAGATAAAAAAAATAATTAAAAATAATCATGACAAAGTGATATATAAATAATATAACAGCCTGAAGAATGAGTGATGAGACACATTATAAATACATAGACAATTGTCTTGCATCTTAAAAGTGGAGTTTGAACTAACAGATACTGCAACAAGAATGATTTATGAAACCTTATTTTCTAAAAAAAAAAAATAGTATATGTAATTAAAACTGATGACAGCACAAAATATTATGAACTGCAAGTTTTTTAATGGGACCAAAATGATCTTAGTCATATTCGTTGCATTAAAAAAAGAGCATTGTTTGTACATAAATGTTGATTTTTTGGGGGGCCTAGAAATACTTTTACAAAATTTGTGAAGGCAAAAATTTTTGTTTAACTTAAAACATATGTACAAATTTAAGGACATTTTACACGCGATTGACACAACTAAATATAAAGTACTAGACCAATATTTTAATAGACCACTTGGCACTCAAAGGGTGTTGTAAAGTTTTCCTTGCTGGCTACCTCTATTTCCAAGGACATTTCCTGGTACCCATTTTAGGCTGGGTCAATCGGGAAGCCTTGGCCAATGATAAAAATCTGCTCCAGTATAGATTCTAATGGTATGACAATAGGGCAAATCCTAGACAGTTTTTTTTCCAACCTTCAGAAATGATGTACAGTAATTTATTGCCCATAAATGCTGCACTTGTCAGAAGTCTGCAGTACCAAGGGTAAATAATTGCATATCCCTACAGATATACTTTTGTGTACTTTGTATAAAATTGATCATAATATTCCTGTTTAACCCACACAGTTATCTCGGATCACATAATGACCTCTATAAATCTTCTTATGAAGTCACTGAACCATCCCCAATTAGGCTTACAACAGACTATTATTTTAAATGATATTCTATCATATCTTCAAGATTACGTTGTTTACCATTTCTTTGTAATTTTTTTAAAAAGCCAACATTCTATATTTTCTACTCAAACAAACAAAAATATTTACAGAAAACAATTAAAAAATGTAATATGGACATGAGCAAACCAGTCAGAAGAAAAGCATGCCAGACAAAAAGATATGACCACTTTGGCTTGGTCCCCATCCCAAACTTCAACACGCAATGGCATGAACTTCAAAAAGATGTTGTGTCATCACATAACTAATGACAAAAATAAACCACATTTGACTGTCTCTATGCTGGGCTATAATCCTTTTGGTAAGCATTGTACCAAATCTTGGACAAACAGATAGCTGAGTGGAAGCGAAAGTAGATGAAGAGAGGGACACAGAGGTGCAGCATTATGTTCCAAGGAAGGATTCCATAGAACTCCAGGTGAAAAGGAACCACCATAGTCTTCTTGATCTCAAACATGCTGACCACCCAGAGAGCTAGATTACAGACCAACAGAAATGTAACAATGGCTCGTCCAGGTTTAGCCTCAACTTGAATATCATTTTCTGCACGTCGACACAGTCCATCCAGGATAAAAATGGCCTGTGAAGGGAAACACTGTGTAAGAACAACAACTGACATGTCTGTGTAAATACACAGCATCGTTTATTTCTTAACATTAGATAGTGTTGCGTAACTTATCTCATTTAATGATGCCCACCTAGATACTGTTGTGTAATTTATCTAAATTATTGATGCCCACCTAGATACTGTTAACTTATCTGAGGCATCAAGCAGCCACGTTTTCTTTTGCAGCTTTTGTAATAACTCAAAATGTAACCAAATTGTTTCCGACATCATCAGTAATTATCAACATCGTCAACTTCCACTTTTGCAATTAAACATCATGAGAAAGAAGTTTGCTGTCCAGAGCTCGCTTGGCAGCAATTGCTATTGTCATCCCATAATGTCAAAAATCCTTCTCCTAAGGCAGTGGTTCTCAATCTGTGGGTCGTGATCCTTTTTTGGGTCCAATGACCCTCTCGCAGGGGTTGCCAAAGACCATCACAAAACACATTTTCAATGAAGTTATGAAGTAGCGGCAAAAATAATTGTATGGTTGGGGGTTGCAACAACATGAGGAACTGTATTAAAGGGTTGCAACAACATGAGGAACTGTATTAAAGGGTTGCAACAACATGAGGAACTGTATTAAAGGGTCGCTGCATTAGGAAGGTTGAGAGCCACTGTCCTAGGGTATCCTCTTGCTTTTGCATAAGAACTTTTTAGGTGTATATTACACGTTGCTAGTTGTTGCGGCTGCATTTCAGATTACCAAACCATTGAATCTTCAACTTCTCAATGAATGTGCTGTAAATGTAAAGTTCCCACATTTTGTCCAATAGTTTTATTATAGTCTCACTCATTCTCAGATGGCTAAATTGGTGGCTTTCATCATCAGTAGTAATAAACAACTGTAACATCAAAAGAGAAACTGAGGTACCTGGGTATCATTTTCGATAAGAAACCTGTCATTCAGGGATCATGTGGATGCAGTTACCGTGAAATGCAAAAAGGGCTCAATGCTCTCAAGATTATGGTAGCAATGGACATAGAACAATGAATGCTGTTCACAATGTTCAGCATGTGATTCTGTTGGTGATAGATTATGGTCTTGGAATGCTCACCATATCAAAGAGTCAGCTGATGAAACTTGAACACAGACAGAATGAAGCTATGCAAGTAATTCTGGGATGTACAAGAGATACCTCGCTAGTATGTATGCAATATATACTCGCACTGCCTACTATTGCAGACAGGCTAAAATTTCTGCAAGCAAAGTCATATCTCAGAGTTGCTGCTGACAAGAAGTACCTCCTGCATGAAGCCCTGGGTAGAGCTAAGGGTCACAGACTTAATAGAGGAAAGTCTTGGATGGCGCAAGCTGAAGACACAATTAGACATGTGTACAGACTTAACTCTTTGAGTCCCAAGGAACGCATCATACGTTTATAGGTTCCTACCTAGAAGCCCAATGAACGCATGATGCGCCAATTTTATTATTCTCTTTACTACCCCCTGGGCCTGTGATGCTAAACCCCCTGGGACTCAAAGAGTTAATAAATTTGGGTGAGGAGAGGAGTGGGTCAAAGTGTTCGAGCAAGTTTCAGACTTCGGTAAGGTTCTTGTCACTTTAGGTCGTGAGTACAGGGACTGGTCAGCTGGTACTGCAGAATCAAAAGTACTCAAATGATTCATGACAATTCCTAAATTGGTAATGTGATTATCTATACAGATGGCTTTGTACTGAGGGGCAGACAAAAGGGGTGGGGGTTCAATGCAAAAGCAAATAGACGTCACTTAGTGCAACAAAGTCTGGCATTTGATATTGCAACGTTTAGTTTGAGAATAGAGGTGGAGGCAATCACTGTTGCTTTCCGCTGGCCTGAGAATCAGCCGTACACACATGCCATGGTTAAAAGAAAGACTAGCTGGTTCTGCACAACTTGGTATGAATTAATGTATGACAAGCTAGATTTTGTGAAGACCCCTTTGGGAATGAGTGAACAGTGCAGAGGCACAAATATATCATTACAGTGTGAGGAGAATGTCGCTACGGGAAGTTACCAGAGAATCTGGCACCTCCCAACACTCAAGGGAGGGGGAAGACAGATATATAGTCAAACAGTTACTGGTACCACTGGAACTGTAACTCTTTGCTTGCTTCCGGAGGTGGGGATGGAGTGCCTATAGGAGTATCCAGAGTGCTGTGATGTTGATTCCTTATTTAACATCATCAGTAATACAAACCCTTTAAAAAACTTTGAAATTACAAACCCAACAATATAGAAATGATGGATGTAAGGTCCTATTTCCTTGCCCTGGCTGTACAGTTATATCTCCATCTTTATATAAACCAGTCAACACATATTTAATCATGAAGTAATATCGTGCCAACAGTCTTTGCTTCTCAAACCATTTCAAACCCATTTTAAACTTGGGAGCTGAGGTGAATTTCAAAAGTTAGGAATCAAACCAATGACATAATGCTAACTACAAGTTGCTTGTTGGTTATAGAATGCAGTGAATACATAAGTACAACTAATTTTCTGTTGCTAAGATTGAATGATGATCAATCACTATGATGATCTCAATCCCGGAATACTATTCAACAACTTTATTTAACTTAATTTAGTTTATTTATTGATTTACCTTGTTCATATTTCTACTCCTCTTTTTTTTTTCATACATCATCTTAATTATTTTTTGTGTGTAATACAACCCTTCCTATCCATATTTAGCCTCTATTACATTTATTTCACGGTTTCTTGTTGAATTTTTTTTTTTAAAGAAGCTCTGTCCCCCTCCCCCCCCCACCCCCCCCCATTTCCCAATTACAGTTTGCATTGTATTTAGTACTCCACTGTTTGGTTGTATTTGTGTGCATCTTTTCCCTTCTCTCCGTCAATCTTTCTAGTTGCTTGTCATGTTGTTTCTAGCACTTCACTAAACCAGTAGCAAGCTGCTTTCAGCTATATATTTCATGAATGCAAACTTAATGATTAATTTTCACAGAATGACAACTATCACGTACCTGAACACTATCTACTCTTAGGACTGAGATGTAAAGCAAACTGGCAAAGATACTAGTTGCCTGTGATCAGTTTGCAGGGTCTTTCAGCACTACCATTAAAAAAGATAGTTAACTCAAGGACCCTTTTTCCACCACTGTACATTCTGTCTGCTGGATGTCTGGTGCTAGGCTCATATTTGTACAGACTAACCAGACCACATGCTGGATGTCTGGTGCTAGGCTCATATTTGTATAGACTAACCAGACCACATGCTGGATGTTTGGTGCTAGGCTCATATTTGTATAGACTAACCAGAACACATGCTGGATGTTTGGTGCTAGGCTCATATTTGTATAGACTAACCAGAACACATGCTGGATGTTTGGTGCTAGGCTCATATTTGTATAGACTAACCAGACCACATGCTGGATGTTTGGTGCTAGGCTCATATTTGTATAGACTAACCAGAACACATGCTGGATGTTTGGTGCTAGGCTCATATTTGTATAGACTAACCAGAACACATGCTGGATGTCTGGTGCTAGGCTCATATTTGTATAGACTAACCAGAACACATGCTGGATGTCTGGTGCTAGGCTCATATTTGTATAGACTAACCAGAACACATGCTGGATGTTTGGTGCTAGGCTCATATTTGTATAGACTAACCAGACCACATGCTGGATGTCTGGTGCTAGGCTCATATTTGTATAGACTAACCAGAACACATGCTGGATGTTTGGTGCTAGGCTCATATTTGTATAGACTAACCAGACCACATGCTGGATGTTTGGTGCTAGGCTCATATTTGTATAGACTAACCAGAACACATGCTGGATGTTTGGTGCTAGGCTCATATTTGTATAGACTAACCAGACCACATGCTGGATGTCTGGTGCTAGGCTCATATTTGTATAGACTAACCAGACCACATGCTGGATGTTTGGTGCTAGGCTCATATTTGTATAGACTAACCAGAACACATGCTGGATGTCTGGTGCTAGGCTCATATTTTTATAGACTAACCAGACCACATGCTGGATGTCTGGTGCTAGGCTCATATTTGTATAGACTAACCAGACCACATGCTGGATGTTTGGTGCTAGGCTCATATTTGTATAGACTAACCAGACCACATGCTGGATGTCGGGAACATCACACTAATTGCCTTTACTTTCCATGACACTTTCTGGTAACTAATTTAGGCTGGGTTAACCTGGGAACCTAGGTCATGTATACAAATATTCCTTGATGTGGATTCGGTTTGCCTATTAGATGTGAATTCGGTTTTTTCATTTTTCTTTATAGAACTTGCAGCGATCCAGGTGAGTATATCATACTTTGTATCACTGTGTCACTGATTGTTATAAATTTCTCATATTTTCTTTTACACAGTATTAAAATATTACGATAAAGCTTTTTAAAAAAAAAAAAAGGCAGTTCATTTCTGTGTTATGTTTTGTTTCTCATTGTTGTTGAGTTGAGTTGAGTCAAAAATCGATATCACAGCACTCACAATACTGATTTTACCGGTCACAATCTGGTTATATGTCCATCTTGGCTTTTCTCTCAGTTTAGTGAGCCAGCCAGACCCTTTGGTTACAGCCAAGTGCTTCATTCTCTCCAGGCCATAATAATCTTGTATCTCTACTGATTCCGTTGCTTGTTCCCTAAAAACCTTGACCCCATCTGCCTTGTCGTGTATCAATTTACCACCCAGTGGTGCAGATCCAGCCAATCTGTTTGTCCGTTCACTACTCACTATGCCGGATAGCCTGTAGAAAAGATCCAAAGTATGCTCACTACCCGTGACCTTCCCAGTGAAGCCTGCTACTCTGCTTTCATTGCTGTTGAAGGCTAATTTCATGTATCATTTGTAAGCTTATTGTAACTGGTTCTATGAATCTGACAGATACTTTAAGTTTTTCATATATTTGTTTGAGACCCTCAGCATTTGTTGGCTGTTTCCAGGCCTTGATAATTGTACACCCAGCAATTTAGGTATGAGAATAGTTACATTTAAATGTTATCCTCATTTTGTGCTGCCAACTCACCTGCAAGGTGGATTCTAAAATGCCCACACAAATGGCAGCCAGAGACAAGATACTGATGACTCCATGTTTCTCCACCATTGAAGCAGATGAGATGAGCATGAAGCTGAGATAAATGTATGCTCCACCAAGGGAGATGATCAGAAGAACAGCATCCAAGGACAAATAATTTTCCAGGAATTTGAGGTTGACAAAACGAATCATTCCTAGCATGATGCAGCTGCCAGTGATGAGGATCAGTGAAATCTCCAAAACAAAGAAAATCTGGGAATATTGACAACCCTATAGAATTTAACTAAAATCATTTTTTTGGCTGAGTCTTTTGAAAAACATTCTTAAACTAAGTTAAATTGAGTTCAGAACCAATATTACAAGACTCAGGAGATTTATATCAGCACTATTCCCATCTTCAGCAGCCATCAGACAGTTCCATTTCCTATGGTACCAGTAGCAATCTGATTATATGTCAGTCTAGTGCTCCCTCTGTTGAGTGTCAGCCAGATCTCCTGGTTACTCCATGCTGCTTTATCCTCACCCGACCATGATGATCTATTTGCGCTACCACATTTCTTAGATTTAATATTTATTTATATGTGTGTGTATATGTATGTGTGTATATGTATGTGTGTGTATTTGTATGTGTATATGTATGTGTGTGTATATATATATATATATATATATATATATATATATATATATATATATATATATATATATATATATATATATATATATATATATATATATATATATATATATATATATATATCCTTTATCACATCAGTCCTCAAGAAAGAAAATAGGGGCTTTTTAGCTAAAAGGCTATAGAAAGATTCTCACAATATCTTGGACAAAGAAGAGGAGAAATACTGACATCTTGAAAGATCAAGGAAGACTGGCTAATAACAGCATCCTGTCTCAGAAGCTGAAATATTTAGTCATATCAAGCGCTACGATGGACTGGAAAAAATAATAGCAGAAGGCATGGTACCAGGAAGGAGGGGCAGGGGCCGACCAACACGAAGATGGGTACAGGATATAAGTGACTCCTTGAGTATGAAAGTACATGAAGTAGGAGAGCTGGCGAGAGACTTTTTTTTTTCAGGCAGACCGTGATGAGAGCGATGTTCTGCAAAGGACCTGCTACATGATAATGATGATTATCACATACAACTACAGGATACACCCTGTAAACTTGGCATTTGTATAAATCAAAGCAATGTTTCCCCATTGTAAATTTGAACAAAGAAGACACAAACAATAGGTTGAACAATTTATTGCCTGGCATATTTCGCTGTATCTCGTCAGGTGCATACTACAGTAACAATTACATAAATGAAGCAAATAAGTGAATCCTTTATAAATGAATACAATTTCAACAACGATCAAACACAACATGACTGCCTGTTTTTACCAGGGCAGCCGTAAAGAAAGAACTATCTCTTTCTGATGTATAAATGGCTCTAAGAAAATAATAATGCTAAACTGATGTTTGCAGGACACAACCCTCCCCCCCCCCCCCCCCCAACAAAAAAAGCATAGTACACTAGCACTGGCATGTAGCCGATATGGTCCCTCTAATTATAACTTCTCTAGAGGCTTAACATGATATCTGGGATTTGCCAGGTTGGAGTGACATATAAGATGGGACTCTTCAAGTCGCAGAAGCATTATACCTTTATCTAGTAGTGTGGAATGGAATAACAATCAGTTACAGTTTATTGATAGTTGATCTAGATAATGGTGCTCTGATAGGGCACAGTAAGCAAGTCTGGTCTGTGTTTACATGCATAACGGAGAGAGAGAGAGAGACAAGTCTGGTCCGTGTTTACATGCATAACGGAGAGAGAGAGACAAGTCTGGTACGTGTTTACATGCATAACGGAGAGAGAGAGACAAGTTTAGTCCGTGTTTACATGCATGACGGAGAGAGGGAGAGAGTGAGAAGAAAAGAAAGAGGGGAGAGGGAGAGAGAAATAGTTGGGAGGTAGTGAATTGCTGGATTTCTTCCCAGAAGAAAATTATCACTCTTCTTATGGCAGTGAATACTCTGTACAAATCGCCTGTAAAGGTTTGTACTAAACATTATAATTATACAAACTGTAATTAATTATTTTAGCTTTGCCAGAAATCTTGGTCTGAAACCAGTTTATTAAAGAGCAACAGATGTGATGGTTTGGCCTTCTGTGGAGAATGCCCTGGTACCAACTGCAACAGGGAGCCATTCTCCACTAGCTTTTATGGCAAGAGAAGAAGAAGAATCTTTGCCCAGAGAAAATACTGTAAAAGTAACAAATGTTTTATCTATATACATTTAGGGCCACAAATTTAGTGATTACAAACATTAGGAATGCGGAGATGAATTAGAATATCATATGGAGTTAAAAACACAAAATGATTTGTCTCTATTCTTCAGTGTTCAGAAAGATTTTTTTAAAAACTATGAGATATTGCAATAAATAAAATACCTTGATGGCCGTGTGGGGATAATTCAGCCGGCTCTCAAACACAAAGAATGTTGCTATGGCAATGAGTGTGAACACAGCAACCAGGAGACCAGAAAACAAGCCTTTGTTGGCCTTCTCACAGTCCATACTGACTGCACCATGGGGATTACTGGATGTCAAGGACGTGTGGCTTGGCCAGCGCTGGGTCACCTTGACTCCAACATACTGATACATCCGATACAAGATACCAGCAGCAATGATGCTATGACAGAAACAATTTAAATATGGATATACATACACACCCATATATATATATTTCACACAATAACACACACACGCAACACGCACCGACATGTGTACAATACCATTTCATATTCCAGCCTTTACTTTCTGTATAAAATACACTAAGCTACAAACAGTTGTAATTATCTGGCACAGATAATGTATGTAAAGGACACTTTACATGCCAGGTTCACTTTGGGAATACAATGCCATCCTCATATTTTGATAAACCAATCAACACTGGTTGGAGATGTAGTCAATTCTACACTGCCTTGACCTCGCAAGAACTGGTACCCAATTTAGGCTGGGTCAACCTTGGAGTACAGGTCATGTTATTTTGAAAATCTGTCTCTTGCAGATTAAAACCCAGCACTTTTGGCCTGGCTAAAACATCTAACCATTACACTATGGTGGTTCCTAGTTATCAGACATACAATTATAAGCACAGAACCATACAGATCAGGGAAATACCTTAAAAAAAAAAAAGTTTATTTTAATAATTATAAATGGCAAAAGCAAAGCCCCATAAACTTCCAGAAAGGTTTTACCCCCCCCCCCCCAACAAACAAAAAAATTCTCAACATTACGGTTTTTTGTCAGCCTAAATTTAATGTAAATAATTTTATGTAGTAGTAGTACTGTTAACATATATAATATTCTCTTCAACTCTCAATATTATGCATACTGTTAAATTTATTTAACTTTTTATTAATTAAAACACTAAAGTATGAGATGAAACTACTTGCTACCGACAATTACTGGTACCATCAGAATTTTAACTCTTAGCTTGCTGCTGAAGATAGGGACGGAGAGCATATGGTGGTTTCCCAAGTGCTGTGATGTTGATTCTTAATTCAACATTTTGCAGAAAGAATGATAGAAAGGGATTTGGAGACCTACTTAGATATCCTCTATATTTTTGTTATTTGGATTTAAGATATTACACATGGCTGACTGTTCTACTAAATGCAACATGAGTGGTAATGTCTTTAAACTGAAACATGCAGGTGGTTTTAATGAGATTTGCCTTGACTACACTTGACTACCAGTGTATAATGCCTAGTGAGACTGACCTGTATATAATCGTACATGGGAACAGATAAGGGGATGCAGTTCTTGCAAGGGTGACGTCCTCGTAGCAGCTTTCAGTTTCACTTTCTTCTGTTGTATTATCTATCAGGTAGGAAAAGTAAATAAACACAGTGACACGATTGTGCACTTGTTTGAAATCAATGAAGACATTTATTTAGGGAACAAATATTCAAAGAGAAAGGACAAGGAAAAACATGCAATTTCTTATGAATGATACCACAGTTATTTTAGTAACAAAGTAAAGAAAGTACTTACAAAGTTAGTTGTATATCATTTACAGGGCTTTGTGAAGCAACCTTAGCTTAGTATTTTTTTGATTGTCTTGAGGTTTCCTAGGCAGTTTTACATTCACGTTTGGTTTGGTTTATACAAACCAATCAACTTTATGGCACAAGGATAGTAACCCATAAGTGGTAAATCTACTTCTAACTCAAGCCTGAGGCCAAGACTCTCAGCACAGTGCATGAACTCTGTAGCACTGGCCAGGATCCTGAAATACTTTGGGTAGATTTTTAACTCCAATTTGGCCCGAGCAAAGCCGTAAGACTACTCTTTTTGATTTCCAACTGCCAAAGGATTTTTTATGTATGCAAAAATACACACGAGCATCTGATCGCACTACCCAGAGGTCAGAGGAAATTACTAGAAGGCACTTGAAAAAACTCCAGCCTTCATAGGAACCTGAACCCGGGACCTCTAGCTCTTGAGGTGGTTGCTATGCCTCAAGACCACTTAGCCCCCTAGTTTTATATTCTTTAGTTTGCCACTGTTTTATGAATGGCACAATTCTCAAAGCTAGTGCAGAGTCAGTTTCCATATTATCTATACTGACTTTGAAACCAGTATTTTGGGATTATGAGTCTGTATATACAACCCTTAAGCCACACATGCTGGAAAAACATTGGAAAACATAATGTGCATAGAAACACACATGGATGGACATATGCACACATATATAACCAATCATTTGTTAAAAACATTATGTTTATTTTCTCATAGATAGTAGTTTTTTTTTAGTGAACATCAGCATAAAGTAAGTCAGTTTTGTGAACATACCATTGAGAGATGCAAAGTAATTCTGTTGTCTGTAGTCTTCAGATGTCTCTGTGATAGCAGTAACAAACCAGACTGTCAGATTTGTGGCCAGGAGATGCATGAGACCAAACCTGACTGATGCCTTGCTTTTGTCAATGACAAGCTGCAGATAAGAAGTGTCTTAATGCAATGGGATCATGCATGTTTTGTTTGTTAGACTTTACTTTGGAAAGCTCATTGAAAGCAAATATGTTGACCTATTCTCTGACTGCCAAGTGAGCTTCATTTGAGTATATAGAACTCCTACTGGGCTAACAATAAAATAACTATTTTCAAACAAATGTTAAACCACCTGGTGATGCACTGATGCATGACAAGGTAGTTGTCTGCAAAGTTCTTTAGCAGAAGGTGAACAGCATGGAAGCATGAACATATTGTCATGGGCTGCAGAACACGGTGTAATGAGGAGTCACGAGGGAATCTGTCTGTCACTCAACATGCATGCCAAAAATCCTTAGGGCTGACCCTGCCACCAGCACAATTTTCTCTGAACCTCCTCTAGTGGCCTGCAGTCATGACTGTAATGAACCTCCTCTAGTGGCCTACAGTCATGACCATAATGAACCTCCTCTAGTGGCCTACAGTCATGACCATAATGAACCTCCTCTAGTGGCCTACAGTCATGACCATAATGAACCTCCTCTAGTGGCCTACAGTCATGACCATAATGAACCTCCTCTAGTGGCCTACAATCATGACCATAATGAACCTCCTCTAGTGGCCTACAGTCATGACCATAATGAACCTCCTCTAGTGGCCTACAGTCATGACCATAATGAACCTCCTCTAGTGGCCTGCAGTCATGACTATAACCTCAAGGATGTTAGGATGTTCTAGTCAAGAGTCGGTTACGTCCTGCGTCCGAGTCCCACTTCGGCACAGTCTCTTGTCACAGACCCGTATGTGTGACAATATCGTAGCTTTCCACACCCACCCAAGCTCAATCAGGTGTGTCTAAATGGAACAGAGTATAATAGATAGGGTTCATATGTTTATTGTGTTTACCAGCATGGCCAGTGATGGATCAACACATACAATTAAATTAAGTTTGTTTATTATAAAACACAATGTCCATTTGAGTAGGGTGATAATTATTCATCAACAATAATACACATGTTTCAATATAGGTTGCTATGATGTATGCTTCACCACTAACAGGTTATTCACTGTAATAGACTGTTTATAAAGTCTCTTCTAACGCACTGGGGAAATATCTTTCTTCTAACCAAGACAACTGCCGGGCTTGTTAGTGCAGTTGATTAAACCCTCTGCGCGGTGACAGGGTGACGAACTCCTTGTGGTCTGGTTTCGAGCCCCAGGATAAGCAGAAAAGCCACATTTGTCCCAGATTTACGGTATCTATCATGAAATCAAGGCTGCCATATCCATAGTACCTAACCAAAGGGTTTACAACTCATGGTTTCTGGATACTTAAAAAAAAAAAAGTTAACGTTTGGCCACACAGTAAAACTGCTTTGTTCACAAACTACCTTTCGACTTATATTGCTGCCAGCCGCTCACACACCACTGGTCTAAGTCTTCCGTGATTTCTCTCTCTGCTTGTATCCCACTTTCTCTTTATCTCCTTTCTTCACAAAGGAAGGGCGATTTCTCACCTTGCTGTCATCTCTCCGTGCACCTTTTTATCTCTGTCTTCCTAGATTCTTTCTCCATTGGTCCCATCTGATCTAAAGGAAGGATTAATCTCTTTCACCTGTCAATACCTCCAGAGTTGTTGCCTGACCCTTGTTCTAATCTCTATTTATAGTGCTCTCCCAAAGTGGTCCTGGCATATCTCAATGCTATGGTCAGTCATCTAGCAGTATGTACCAGAGAGATGAATATCCTCTTCTATGTCTGCACCATATGTTCATAGAAACTCTAGTTGTCATGCAAAAGCCATCTGTGTTTCTATAATAAATTCAAAGGGCTGGCATATCAGTGTTTCAGTGTCAGAGTTTCCCTGTGTTAATTTCTCAGTACTAGACGTACTTGTTCACCACTCCTGTTCACTATTTTACTACAGATGCAGGACTTGTCCATATGTTGTTCAGGGGACAAGTCTTGAATTCCCGAATGCCACCTTCCAAATACGTGAAGCAATCTATTGCATGAGCTGCAGTGTCATTTATGTCATCAACTGCAAGAGATATGGCATGAAATACTTCGGTAAAATGGGTCTACAACTGGCTGATGGGTTACAACAACATCTTCTAGATGTGCAAAACGGTGCCCTGAAATGAGTACCGTTGCACTTCAATTCCCAGGATCACCAAGGTGTCCACGACATGAAGATGACAGAGATTAAATCAAGCCACTTCAGTGACAGAGTCTTCAAGTCTCTTGAAAATCGCTTTACTTTTACATTGAGCACCCTTACACCCAGAGAACTGAACTGTCAACATAGTTTCATGTAAAATTCTCAAGGTAAATTAAATCTAGAGTTATGGCCTCTGGTCTTCCCCGGCTATTTATTCTGGGCTCTAAACCCACACTGTGATTCCAGGTATTCACTGTCTGCTAGGACCTGCTATTTCTTCAGAATAATGTGCCGCAAAGACCTTGCTAATGTAACATAACAGAGAGATGCTATGATATTTATAACAGAATCATTTTTACACACATACACACACAAAAAGCCTCACCTTGTGGTTTTTAAACAGAAAAAACGTCTGGATGAAAGTAAAAATAAGGTGCAGAACGTAGACAACAATGAAGATGTAACTTTCGCATGTGGCTGTGTTTTCTGTCTCAAAGTAGGAAGCAATATGGAACCCATCCAGAGTCACACTGCCAATTGAGAAAGCTGTAGAGGGAAAAAAAACAAGATTTTACATTTCCTGGTGTGTATTATCCCATTTACGATGCAGAGAAAAGAAGAAAAGGAGAAAATAACTTTTAACAAATTTAACAGTGAAATTATAGTATGGTAGTGAATCATAGAATGCGAATGCACAAATTAGAAATAATTTGGAGGCAATGGAAATGTGGTTCTTCTTCTTCTTCACTTCCTCTTTTACCGCTGTGGGTGTCGAGGGAGATATAAGGTTCTGTTTCTAGCTCTTCTGGCTGCCTCGACCATAGGCACATCGTGCTGTTGTAGAGTTTCTCTGATGTTATCCTTCCATCTTGTTCTTGGTCTACCCCGTGCTCTACGTCCTTCTTCTCTTTCCATGTATGCTTTGTATGGTATGGTGTCACAAGGCATTCTTTCTAAGTGGGCAAACCATTTCACTTGCTGTCTTTGTATGTAATCCAGAATTGGTTCTGTGCCGACTTGTTCTCTTATGATCTCATTCCTGATCTTATGGTCACTCCTACAGCCCTTCTCAGACATCTCATTTCCGTGGTTACTAATTTTCTTTTATGGTTTGTTGTGAGTGACCATGTCTGGCACTGGTAGCACAGAGTTGGAATAAATATGCTTTGAATAAGATGTCTCTTTATGCTGATTGGGATTGTCTTATGCTGTAAGAGGGGGGCTAGCTGTCCCAATACTTGGTTTGCTTTACTGCATCTAATGTCAATTTCTTTATCCAATTTCCCATCTTCGGTAAATGTAGTTCCCAGATATTTAAACTCAGATGCCTGTTTAATGCCTTTGTATTCTATTGCTATGTTTAGATCTGTCTTCTTTTTTCCTATTGACATTACTTCTGTCTTTTCCGTGTTGATTCTCATATTATTTGTTTTACATTCTTCATTCATGGATGTTAGATGTTGTTGCCAGTCCGTTTATATCTCATTTTGATTTCTGTAGCGGTAATAAATCCATTGCCAGCTTGCTATGCCTGTCGCAACTTCACCAGAGCCCCGTTGGCCAGGACATTTCGGGGCTACCGTAGCGGTCCCGTGGCACGAGGCCACACCATACTTCGCCCACACCTAGCAATCCCCTACTTTGTCCTGTTACCACCTCTCACGACGAGGACGTGGGGTTGGCCTTTGAGAGGGAATGTGGTTACTCAGATGAATGTTAAGAATCA